CTTTGTGGGTGCCCGCCAACAACCTGGGACGGCCCCACCCGCAGCGCACAGGAGGCCCCGGCCCCAGGCGTGCGACACGCACCAGCGCCAGGTGCACGGCGCTCGGGCAGCCCCAGCCCCGGGGCACATGCAGGTGCTCAGGCACGCGGCGCTCGAGCGGCGCCGGTGCCGGCCCATGGCACAAGGCACTCGGGTGGCCCCAGCCCCGGCCCTGGGGCACATGCCGGCTCTGGGTGCAAGGGCATCCCCGTCCCCTGGTGTGCCCCCGGACGCGTGGCCCCACCCCTGGGCACCCGGCACGTGAGTGGCCCCACCCCTGGGCGCCCGGGAGCCTCTAAAGGTTGGGGACCACTGCCCTAAGGGTACTCGTACGACTGGTTGAGAAACACTGATCTATAGCATTAACCTATAAGCTTTTGCTTATCGGTTAATTGGTTAATCGACTACACTTATTACATCCCTAACCCGTATCTGATGGGCACATCTCCTGCCCAGATATGACTATCCAACAGTCAAGCGCTTCCTTAAGGGCATGCAAAACACTTTCCCGCCTGTCAAACCTCTAGTCGAATCTCTGGACCTCAATTTAGTACTTCAGGCCCTCACCAGTAGCCCATTTGAATCCCTGGCGACATGATCCATGCTCCACCTTTCCATGAAGGTGGCCCTATTGTTGGCTGTCACATCAGCCAGGAGAATGAGTGAAATTGGTGCCCTAATGGCTGATCCACTCTTCATGGTATTCCTTAAAGATAAAGTGGTTCTGTGACCACATCCAAAGTTTTTGCCAAAGGTTTCCACCTCTTTCAACTGCAATGAGCCTGTAATACTGCCCATCTTTTTTCCAGTGCCTCACGCCAATGCACAAGAGGTTACGTGGCACGTGCTTGATGTGCTCAGAGCAATTTCCTTTTATGTGGACAGCACAAAGAGAATCTGCACAACACCTAGACTGTTCGTATCCACTGCAGAGAGATCTCCTTGGGCATGCCAATTTTCACCCAGAAGATAGTCATATGGATTGTGCAGTACATCTGGTTGGCCTAACTCCTTCTTGAACCAAGACCCTCTATTGCAACTATGCAAGCTACAAGGGCAATGGCGGCTTCTACAGCCTACCTCAATAACATACTTCTTGTGGACATTTACAGATCTGTGACGTGGTCCTCCGCCCACACATTCACAAGATGTTAAGCCTTGATACTTACCTATCCTGGGCCATATCTACACTACAAGGTTTTTGTGCAAAAATGTCTGTTTTTGTGCAAAAACCGACAGAGCGTCCACACCTCGAGCGCGTTTTTGCATAAGAAAAATGACAGAATAGAGGACTTTTTCCAGTAGAGTTATTCCTTTCCCCTTGAGGAATAACTCCTTTTTGCGCTACAGCTCTTACGCAAAAAGGCAGGTGTGGATGCTCCGGAGGGGTTTTAGCGCAAGAAACCCCTATTGGAAAAAGCTGAGGTGAATGGGCATCAGAGCTTTCTTGTGCAAGACTGTCCATGCAGTGTGGACGCTCTCTTGTGCAAAAGCATATTGCTTTTGCGATGCGCTTTGAGGTCTGGGCGCACTTTTGCACAAGAAATTTTTGTGCAAGAATTCTTCTGCAAAAGACTTCTTGCGCAAAAACCCTGCAGTGTAGACTAAGCCCAGGGTACTAAATCTGGGCACGCTGTTCTGACTGTGATCCAGGTTACTGACTAGCCAAAGCATCCACCTTCAATCAATGGGACTTCTCTATAGTCACTTAAGGTGGGGCAACCACAGTGACACTCCTCAAAGAAGAAGAGAGGGTTACTCACCTTGTGCGGTAAGGGAGGTTCTTTGAGATGTTTGTCCCTGTGGGTGCGCCACCACCTGCCGTTCCTCCCCTCTGCTTTGGATATTATTAAATGCTTCTGTGACCGAGAAGGAATGGAGGGGGTGGTTGGCTGCGTGTGTGTAATAGCAGTACTGCGCATGCCATTTGCTCCATGTGCGCAGGCTACCAGAGGGTACTGCTACCTTAAATCTCCAACTAGGCACGCAGTGGTGCCCAGATACTTAAGGTAGAGAACCCATAGCAACATCCACCTCAAAAAACCTCTGTTACTGCACCAGGTGAGTTAACCCCCTCTTTAACCAGACAAGTGACTCTGAGCGTATACAATAATACTTAACTAAGTGCCTTACAAATATTAAGTTTCATAACATCCTTTGAGCTGGTTAAGCTTTATTAATACCAGAGTGCTTTCAAAGCCTTAAAGGTAATGTTCTTTAAGCTATAATTGTGTGTAAAGTAAAAGCAAAACAAATATTTTTTGAAATGTATTTTTAATTTTTTCCAGCTATTTTAGATTTGGATGACTGTTGCTATGTTTTGGCTTGTTTCTGCCTGTCTCTAAAATCTTAGTCGGGTATCTAATACCCAATTTGCAGATTGGCAGACTGAGATGCAAAAGGTAGTCCAGCATCTTGAATGTCACAAGAAATTGGTGGCAGACCTTGGAAATAGGGCCTGGTTCCCATTTGCCTATTGTAACCAGACTTCTTTTTCTCCCTATATAATACTCTTGCTAGTCACAGTATGCTACTGTATTACTTAAAACAGAAATTTGGGCTTGACAAGTAAGAACACTTTCTGCTGCTTAGGTGTTCCTAGTCAGTTTTATTTTCTTAGTGAGGTCTTGCAGTTCATTTCATGTAGTGATTGTATTCTTCCTTCAAATTCTTGTGTAAAAGACCAAGTAAAAGACCTCTTTAGAGTGTGACCACCCAACTGGTCTTGACAGATTTGTGGTTCCAATAGAGTGCTTACCTTTTTCCATTTTATTTCTGTATTAACTAGTGGGAGCACGGCTTGTTCTTGAAGAAAATCCAGGAAGAGGAATGGACCATGTTTTCATGAAGTTAATACCTGTGATCCAGGAATGCTATAGAGGTCAGTGATTGGGACGGGGAGGGGAAGCTCTCTGTGTTTAAGAGATTTTGCTAGAATTGCTCTGGATTTGTAATTGCCATATGCAGTTGCTTAACTGATTTTTGGATGCAGTTTGGCAGATGCAAGGATTTTATTTGTCTTAGAGAAAAGGAAAGTGTATCAATTTTAAACACAGAAAATCTGAATTGGTTTCCCAATACAGTCAAGTAAGATTACAGTGCTGATTTATTCCTACAAAAGCATTAGAAATACATAGTTACATCTGCAGTTATTCACTTAATATATTATGCTGCATTGAAATGTCTGCACTATCAAAACCAGTGATCCTGGACTATTGTGTTAAACTCTAAAGTTCTTAATTGATAATCAGCAGTGCGAATGTAATACCCTCTATACACATGGTATTCTTTTCTCAGTCTACCGCTGTTGTGTTAAACTCTGAAGTTCTTAATTGATAATCAGCAGTGCAAATGTAATACCCTCTAGACACATGGTATTCTTTTCTCAGTCTACCAAGTAGTACTAATTCTGAGACGTTTCTTCTGTTCCTGTCTATAATAACCTATAAATAGAAGACAGGAAATGCCCATAATATGGGAATCTTAGTATTACTTTCCTATATTTTCTGTTTGACTTAAGTACGTTTTTTTTATTGAGAAATGTGGGGCTGGTTGAGACCTCAAGGTCATCTAGTCCATTGGTCCCCAACCTTTTTATGCCCAAGATCAGGGGATGTGTGGTGCTGGCTCTGAGAGGGGGTCATAGCTGGAGCCGGTGCTTGGAATACAGCAGGAGTTCTAGGGTGCTGGCTCTGGGAGTGGGCTCAGGGTGGGGATTCAGGGTGCAGGAGGAGGTATGGGGGTGCTGGCGGTAAGTGTGGAGTCAGAGCTAGGGGAGGTGCTTGGTGTACAGGAGGGGATACAGGTGCTGGTTGTGGGACTGAGCTGGTGGTTTGGCATGTAGCCCTCTGCCAAGGAGCACTTATCACTGGTGGCTCCCTGCTGGCCCCGGCCCCATGTTACTCCCAGAAGGGGCTAAGGCACCCTTGTGGCCCTGGGAGTTGAGGGCAGAGGGCATGTGGCTCTGCATGCTGCAGCTGTCTTCCGGAATTACTCCCTCAGCTTGCATTGGCCACAGTTCCCTATTCCCAGCCAACGGAAACTGAGGGGGCAGTGCTTGCAGGCAGGAGTAATGTGCCCTACCTCACATATGGGGCCATGTTGGCTGTCTGCTTCTTTCAGCCTTTCCTCATGGGTCACACATTCTATGTCTACACAGCAGAAAGAAAAACCCGCAGTAGTGTATCCAGGAACCCAGGTCAGTTTACTAGGATATGAGGGGATTGTGCTGCAGGTCTAAATAGGGCAGTGTAGCAGCTTGGGCTGGAGCCTGGATTCTGAAACCTGGCAAGGTGCAAGAGTGTTGGAGCTTAGCCCAAATGTCTGCATTGCTATTTTCAGTCCTGTGGTGTGAGCCAAAAAATCCATTAAACCCAGGCTCTGAGACTCTTTGCTGTGGATCTTTTCAGTACCCTAAATCTCTTGCCTTTCTTATGCTCTGTTATGGTGACTCTCTAATTTATTCATATCTTTCATAAAGTGCGGTGCCCAAAACTGGACATTAATCATAGAATCAAAGGGCTGGAAGAGATCTCATCAAGTCCAGCCCCATGCCCAAGGCAGGACCAATCCCAACTAAATCAACCGAACGTTGGCTTTGCCAAGCTGAGACTTCAAAACCTCTAGGGATGGCGATTCAACCACATCCCTAAGTAACCCATTCCAGTATTTCACCACCCTCCTTGTAAAATAGTTTTTCCTAATCTCCAATCTACTCCTCCCCCACTGCAACTTGAGACCATTGCTCCTTGTTCTGCCATCCATCACTACTGAGAACAGCCTTTCTCCATCCTCTTTGGAACCTCCCTTAAGGAAGTTGAAGGCTGCTATCAAATCCCCCTTCACTCTTCTCTTCTCTTTCCCCGTCTCCCTGCAGACCAGGGAGACGGGGAGCAGCTTTTCTCGCCCCGGAGGACAGGGGCGGCGGACCGCGGCGCATCTGGGCGCCCCGCCGCTCCCGTCCTCCGGGGCGAGAAAAGCCCCGTTCGTAAGTACGGATCCGACATAATTCAGATCCGCGTAACTCGGGGACTGCCTGTACTGTGTAAGCTTATTGTCTCGATACCACCTCTAAGAAGGTGAACACAGTGTTGTAATTTAATTTCCTTGCTTCATGGATGTTCTTGGCTCCAAAATTGCTTGGTATTAAAGTCACAACTCACTTGTTATAAAGGATTAAAAGAGGAAAGCATATGCCAGAAGAAAATTTAAGTGCTGAGTAAATTGGAACAATAACTTCTTGCGTATTGTGCAGCATTTGTGTTAAGATATGCTAGAATGGTATTGCTTTTTTCTCAGTATCATACTGATTCATAATCAGTTTGTGATCCTCTGACCCTTTTCTTCAGTACTGCTGCATAGCCAATTATTCTTCCTTTTGTGTTTGTATATTTGATTTTCTTTCCTAAATGTTGTTCTTTGAGTTTGTCTTTGTTGAATTTCATCTTCATTTCAGACCATTTTTCCAGTGTGTCTTGGTCATTTTTTAATTTTTAAAGTGCTCGTAGACCCTCCTTGCTTGATATTATCTGCAGATTTTATAAGTATGCTGTCTATTCCAGGATCCAAGTCATTAATGCAAAGGTCCCATTGAGAGTTAAGATCCACTGGAGTTTTGTGTTTAGGTCTGTTTCTTAGGATTCATTGTAATATTGCTACACCTCTAGCATGGACTTTTCTTATGTCCATGTAGTCCTAGTGCAAATAGGTTAGCTCAGCGTTTCCCAAACCATGGGCCGCGGCCCGGTACTGGACTACGGGAAAATAATACCAGGCCTCAGCGTGGCTGCCAGGGTGTTCTGGGTTCTTGGAGTGTCCGTGTGGCGCCGGGTCCCCGAAGCCCTGGGCTGGGCTGGGCGGAGGATGCAGCCGGATGTTCTGGGCTCCCAACAGAGGCATAGTGAGGAGGGAACGGCGGGACAGTTGCCCCCGGGTGCCACGCTAGGGGGAGCCAGGCTGGGCTGCAAGGGGAGGGGAGGTGCGGGGTGCTGGGCTCACCTGGGCTTCAGGAGGAGGGAAGTGCCGGGAACCCGGCGCTGGACTCAAGGGGAGGGGCAGGGAGTCAGTGCTGGGCTCAGCATGTCTGTGCGGTTTGGGGGTAACTGCAGGGAAACGGAGCTCAGCTGGGCTGCGAGGTGCCAGGTGCTGGGCTGAGCTGGGCTGGGCTTCAGGAATGGGGAGAGGTGCGGAGCTCAGTTTGGCTGCAGGAGGAGGGAGGTGCCGGGAACCCGGCGCTGGACTCAAGGGGAGGGGCAGGGAGTCAGTGCTGGGCTCAGCATGTCTGTGCGGTTTGGGGGTAACTGCAGGGAAACGGAGCTCAGCTGGGCTGTGGGGGAGCCATGCAGGGAACGAACCAATGCAGGGCTCCACTGGGCTGAGATGGATGGGGAGGGCATAGGGAACAGAAGGGCAGCTCAGCTGGGCTGTGAGGGGCTGCAGGGAACTGGTGCTGCACTCCCTTTGATTGTGGGGATGGTTTGGGGGGAGGTGCAGGGAACCAGCGGGGGTGGGCAGCTCAGTTGGGTTGCAAGGGAGGGAGGTGCAAAGAAGTCTAGTGGGGAGGTAGGGAACCAGGAGCCTTGAAATGACCTCCCCTGGTCCAAAAAAATCCCTCATCTGGGACCAGTGAGGTCCAACTCCTACCCAAGTCCCCTCCTTGCATCCTCCCTCCTAGCCAGATACCCTACCCCCAATCTGCTCCTTCTCCCACCTCCCGGAGTGCCCGTGTGGTGTCAGGTCCCCCAAGCCCTGGCCTGGGCGGAGGATACAGCTGGATGTTCTGGGCTCCCCGAGTGCCCATGCAGCACCGGGTCCCCCAAGCCCTGGCCCGGGCTGGATGGAGGATGCATCCGGGTGAAACAGTGAAAATGTATAAATTTTTTTTTCTTTTTTCAAATATGCATTTATATTTTTGGGCTGCAAAAAACAGTACTGAAAAAAACTGGGTTCCAACTAAAGTAACAAGTTTGGGAAACCCTGTTCTAGCCAGCTTTCTAGTCATCTTACAGTCCATTTATCCAATCCATATTCCCTTAACTTACTGGCAAGAATATTGTGGGTGATCGTATCAAAAGCTTTGCTAAAGCTGGCACTGGGGGCTTTGGGAAGACCGGAAACAACTTATTTGCATATTCATTATTTGCTTAATAAATATGCAAATGAATGTTACCAGTCCTCCAAAAGTTCGTGAATGGATTTACTGGTCCCCGTGTCAAAAAGTTTGGGAAACCCTGGGTTAGCTTATAGAAGAGCTTATTTTTAAAAGTTGAGTATTTAGCTAGTGTAATTTACATGTTTGAAATATTAAAGGGGATTAAAGGGATATTTCACCAGATGAATTTCTTTGTAACATATGAAGCCAAAAAGAAGCTCAAATAAGCTTAGCTAATCAGTAATGCTTCATTTTGTTCATGTAAATTAAATATGACAAATCAGATTTGTTGAGAACCTAGTGGGTGTAAGAGTTATGGAATAATAATAAAATGTTCCTGGTCAGATAATTGAATTTTTACAACTTTTATAAAGGACATGCTGAGAACCGCTAGGGCGGTATTGTTAAAATGTCACCAGTTGGTAACCTTACTCCAGTTAATGGATATTAAATGTTCTCCTTTGAATACTGAAAAAACAACAAATAGTCTGGTAGCACTTTATAGACTAACAAAACATGTAGATGGTATCATGAGATTTCTTATTCATGCCTTTTCTAATCAGGTTTGTGTGCGCCATGTGCATGAACATTGGAAACTTTTCCCTAGCAGCATCCGTCAGGTTAGCTTTGGAGTGGCGCTGGAAGGCATGCTATATATAACCCTGCCAATACAACTATCCCTTGGTTCCTCCTTGCTGTCCATGACGATGTTGGAGCATGGCCCATTTGCTCACAAGTATGCCCTAGCCTATTGTTGGAATTAGTTTGAATTAGGGATGTTAAATTTTGATTAATTAACTAACCGAATAGTCAATGGGATTTCCATCGACTATTCGATTAGTTGATAAGGACTAGTGCAGTGTTCCACCATTGAAATGTACAAGACCCCCAGCAGGGGCTCTTGTACATTTCAAAGATTGAAACGCTATGTCCCCCTCTGACCCCAGGCTCCACGCGGTGTTTTAATATTTGAAATGCACAAGAGCCCCTGCTAGGGCTCTTGTAAATTTCAAAGTTAGAATACCACCACTGCTCCCCTGTCCACTCCCATGGAGCTGGGGGGAACCGGCTTGAAATGTACAAGACCCCCAGCAGGGGCTCTTGTACATTTCAAAGATTGAAACGCTATGTCCCCCTCTGACCCCAGGCTCCACGCGGTGTTTTAATATTTGAAATGCACAAGAGCCCCTGCTAGGGCTCTTGTAAATTTCAAAGTTAGAATACCACCACTGCTCCCCTGTCCACTCCCATGGAGCTGGGGGGAACCGGCTCCCCCAGCACCGCCTCTACTCCTCCCCCCCCCTTGTTGCCCCATTCCCAGGGCTACGCC